TGCATCTCCTGTTATGACACATCGGGACTAAAAGGGCCTCTGCATCCTTCATCTTTCTTGGGCTAAGTGGAGCTTTCAGAGCGGCCTCCAAGTTGAATAATATCATCTCCAGCATCAAAATGAGATTCTGTGGCTGCAGTCACACAATGCTCTCCCCAAAGTAGAGCACACCAACCTTGCTTAGTACTTCATTAACTCCTGTGAAGGTGGAGTTAAGTGTGCTGTGTGAACCCATCCTGATGAGGGCATTTGTAAACCCAGGAAATCAACATGTCCTAAAACACAACACAAGGGGAAAGGATAGGAAGAGATGAGTGTCCTAGATCAAGAAGAATTGCTTCCTGCAATGGTCAGATCAGAGGGAAGGAAGGAAGGAAGGAAGGAAGGAAGGAAGGAAGGAAGGAAGGAAGGAGGGAGGGAGGGAGGGAGGGAGGGAGGGAGGGAGGGAGGGAGGGAGGGAGGAAGGAAGGAAGGAAGGAAGGAAGGAAGGAAGGAAGGAAGGAAGGAAGGAAGGAAGGATTCCAATGTACCACCTGAGCCAATGGTTGGTAAAAGCTGGGTTACTTCTCCTTGGGGGGGAGGGGGGAGAGACAGGAGTGCAGCTTCCCAGCCTCTCTTGGATTGTTGGTTCAGGGAATCCTTTGGCCCCACAATACATGTCAGATGCCTCTGAATTAAGATCAACAGCCAACCAACCAAGATTATCAACCACAATCAACAGAAGCTGAATGTTGACTCACAACCTGGAGAAGATGGACAGCTGCATTGCAGTCATTTTGGACAGACAGGAGAAGCACAGGAGACCAGGGAAACAAATGCCTTCTTGATTCATCGGCGTTTTGGCAAGGCAGACACTCCCGCGAGGAGGCTGGTGCCTACCACCCTCTTCCTCTAATTAGTATTCACACCCTGTTTTTTAGGAGTCAATTAAGCATGAAGAGCAATTATTCTTTGCAGGCAGCAAATGTAGCCGGTCTCCACATGAAGCTACATCTTCCTGTAGAGAGCAGGAGAAGAAAAGAAGTCAAGAAAATGAGCCAGAATTCACGGGAAGACATTTTGTGTGCATTCTCCTTCAGTTTCCCCCCCCCCTCCTTTGGTTAATTAGCAAAATCCAACAAAGCTCAGCTCTCACTTTAGAGCAGGAATCTCCAACCTTGGCCCCTTGAAGATTGGTGGATTTCAACTCCCAGAATTCCCCAGCCAGCATGGCTGGCTAGGGAATTCTGGGAGCTGAAGTCCACAACTTAAAGGGGCCAAGGTTGGAGACCCCTGCTTTAGAATAGTGTTTTTCAATCTTGGCAAGTTGAAGACTGGTGGACTTCAGCTCCCAGAATTCCCCAGCCAGTAGCCACCGGAATTCTGGGAGCTGAAGTCCACCCCTCTTAAAATTGCCAACGTTGAGAAGACTTGCCTTAGAGCAGCGGTTCTCAACCTATGGGTCACGACCCCATTTGGGGTCGATCGACCATTTCACGGGGGTCGCCAAGCAAGGCTGTCCGCCATTTTTTTCCCCTTTTCTGGCAGGTGCCTTACCTCCCTTGGGCTGGGCCAGCTGGTGGCCCAGCCGGTGGTCGGCCTGCTCCGTCTCTGCCGCTTGCCAGCTACGCCTCAGCCGGCGCAGGGGGCAGCACCACGCATGCGCGGCATTCCCGGGCAGGGAAAGTCCTCGACTTATGACCGGTTTAGTCCTCGACTTATGACCGGTTTAGTCCTCGACTTACAACTGGTTGGGGGTCGCAGCATTAAAAAGGTTGAGAACCACTGCCTTAGAGAAATTCATAGCCATGCAGTGAACCCACTCCAATAGTATAGTAACACACACACACACACACACCACCCCTGCTAGAAATTGCCAGTCAGGATGACCCTGACCTAGAGAACTTCTTATCCACCTTGGGTGGAGATCTCAGAGCTTCCTTCTCCAGGTCAGGCTGCTTCCTAGTTCTCCAGGTGAAGTTTCACTTGCTGCCCTAGAGCCCAGTCCTCCTTCAGGCCACAACAGCCCTGTCCCACAATGAGGCTACTCATCTCCTTGCTGGTCTTCTCCCCCAGCAGTTGGGATTCAGGGAAGGGAGCATCTGTTGGAGCTCCTGCTGTGTGGGTGCTGGGTCCAGGTCAGGAGAGTTAATTTAGAAGGGAATTGCATGAACTGACAGTGAGAACGATGAATCGGAAGAACAGTTTGCCTCCCAGTTGAAAACCTCTTACTTACTTTTCTTTTTCAAGAAAAGATTTGGACATCCTTTTGTCCAAGATTGGCAGAGGACTCCTGCTTGGTCAGGGGGTTGGACTAGAAGACCTCCAAGGTCCCTTCTAGCTCTAGGATTCTATGAGACAGATATATAAGATGCATATGATAGACAGACAAGATAGAAGATGGATGGATGGAAGGATGGATGGATGGATGGATGGATGGATGGATGGATGGACGGATGGACGGATGGACGGATGGATGGATGGACAAACAAATTAATCTATGGAACAGCTTACCTCATGGAGTTGTGGGTGCTCCATCTCTTCAAGAAAAGATTGGGCAAGCATTTGTCTGGGATAAGGACTCCTGCCTTGGGCTGGGGGTTGGACTAGAAGACCTCCATGGTCCCTTCCAGCCCTGTGATTCTAAGTGTACCCTTCCCTTCTTGAAACCCCTGAGCTGCATCCGTGAGTAGCTCTTTCAATCAGCTCCAGCTTATGCATAACAGTGCGAGGCCCACTCATACACGAAAATAACGGGTTGCTAAACAAAACACTTAAGTTGTTCAGATAATGCTTGAAAGGCCATTGTTTCCCCACTTGAGCAAGAGAGACTGGGAAAAACATGTCATTATGGAAAGAAGCCACCAGCAGCCACTTTATTCCCACGACTTGGGGTTTCCTAATACATTAAGCCCAGCCATCATAAGGCACCACCCCCAGCCAGCAGATGGAGAAGGTCCCCTGCACTGAGGGCTCTTGTCGGTGCCATCCTGCTGCAGTCCAGGGGATAAGGCTCCGGCCTATGGACGATTATGGCCTTGGAGAGCGAGAAAGAACTTGACGGCATCAGGCAGAGCTCCATGCAGCCGACATGGCACTCCAGCAGGCAGGTCTGGCACAAATGTTTTCTAGACCTTTTGGGTGCTCCATCACTGGAGGTTTTTAAGAAGATATCCTAAAAGAATGGAATGGAATGGAATGGAATAGACTGGACTGGACTGGAATAGAATAGAATAGAATAGAATAGAATAGAATAGAATAGAATAGAATAGAATAGAATAGAATAATGGATAGGATAGGATAGGATAGGATAGGATAGGATAGGATAGGATAGGATAGGATAGGATAGGATAGGATAGGATAGGATAGGATAGTTGGAAGGGACTTTGGAGATCTTCTAGTCCAACCCCTGCTCTAGCAGGAGACCCTATATCAGACATGTTAAACACAAGGCCCGGGGCTGCATGCGGCCCGCGAAGTGGTTTCATGTGGCCCACGAAGCCATCCTGGAAACAGTGAGGGAACAGCCCCTGCTGCCTTGGCCCCAGCCCTGGCTGGCCGGGAGCCAATGTATAATTTTGTGATGGCCATCTATGCTGAAACACATTCAGTCTTAGCTCCACAAGGCCGTCTGGAAACAGCAAGGAACCAGCCCCAGCCATGTTGGCCCCGCCCCCTGGGTGCACACTGGTGAAGTGTCATCCTTTGTGAGGAATGAATAAGGTGACCAACTTTTTTACAATGAAAAGGAGGACACAAATAAATTGAAGAAAAAAATATCGTAAATAAAAGAAACATTTTATTCATTACAACAATAATATAGAATAGACCAGTGGTTCTCAACCTGTGGGTCGGGACCCCATTTGGGGTCGAACGACCATTTCACGGGGGTCGCCAAACAAGGCTGTCTGCCATTTTTCCCCCTTTTCTTTGGCCACGCCCCTGGCATCCGGTGATGTATAAGTGATTTGGGGTCACCACAACATGGGGAACTATATTATGGGGTCGCGGCATTAGAAAGGTTGAGAACCACTGGAATAGACTGTAATATGATAAATGCATAATAAAAAACATTTGTAACAACAATTATATTATATTATAATTATGCTTACATGCCGCGCCCCCGCCCACAGCCGCTCCACCAGCACTGCTGCCCCACCGTGTAGAGTGGGCCCCGCGGCTCTCAAAGCACCAGCTGTGCCAGCTCTGGCCCTGGGGGGCAGCCCGCCATCAATACACCCTGCCTGCAGCCGCCTTGCCAGCACCACCGCCCACCCTGTGCAGGCCCCGCGGCTCCCACAGCACAGGGGGCAGCTGGCCATCGCCACCCCTCACACCCCTGCCTGCAGCAGCCCCATCGCCCCTGCCTCTTGTGCCTGCAGCCATTATTGCCCTAGCAGGGCTGAAGTTACCGTGGCATCGCCACTCCAGTTTCCTCCAGGTATCTTCAGGACTAACTAGGTCAGGAGATGGTGTAGTTGGGTAGCAGGGAGGGGTGCAAAGTTCCTGCCAATTCGCCTTCGCTGCAGACAACTTACATGTGCAAAGTTTGCCGGCCAGGTTTTTTCATGCATGCTCAGCAGCAATTCCTATTGGCTTTCGAAAGCCAATAGGGGGAGTAGCACAGCTCATGCAAGTTGAAAAAAAAACATCAAAAAAAAAAGGTGCCGGAACACCGTTCTGAGCGTTCTATGAGAAAAAAAAGGGGGTGGGGGTCTTCTAATCCAACCCCCCCCCCCCGCACAAGCAGGAGACCCTGTACTATTCTGGACAAATGTTTGTCTCTGTTTACTTATGCGTAAGAGCTATTATTCTACCTTTCCAACTCAGATCCAATTTTGGCAAAGGCACACCAGGCTAAAAGCCTTGCCGTGGTTTACGGCTCACATCTGCTTTCAGCCTTCCGTCTTGAATGTGTTTTAACAACTCAACTAGTGTTTGGTTTTGAAAAATAAGATTGCAGATTGCAAAAGTGCCTGTTCGACGCGTAAACGTCTTCCTCCATTTTCTCTTCATTCTAGGAGATCCCGCCTGCGGAGCTGGTCAAGTTAAAGCAACCAGAAAGAATTCATCGACGGGGCGTAAGGCTGCAGCTCCCTGGGCATCCATTGGATGGGGCTGGGGAGGGGGGGAATTATTAAGGTGGTGGCTGAGATAACGTGGGCATTTTTGCCGAGGTTCATGGACACCCTGGGGGAGAGGGACGGTAGCCGGGGGTCCTTTTCTGCCTGGGGTTGCGGTGGTGCTGGCGGGGTCTCTGCCCCTGCCTGAGTACAAGAAGTCCTCAGCTTAACGACCACAACTGAGCCCCAAAATGTCCACTGCTAAGCAAGACAATTGTTAAGTGAGTTGCGCCCCATTTTATGAGTTATTTTCCACCTTTGTTAAGTGGATCACTGCAGTTGTTAAATTAGCAACACGGTTGTTAAGTAAATCTGGCTTCCCCATTGACTTTGCTTGTCAGAAGGTCACAACAGGGATCATGTGATCTTGGGGATCCTGCAACGCCCATGAATACGAGTCAGTTGCCAAGCATCTGAATTTTGATAGGGAGGCCGCAACTGTCGTAAAACGGTCCTAAGCTGCTTTTTTTCAGTGTTGTCGTAACTTGGAACGATCACTGAGCGAGTGGTTATAAGCCGAGGACTAGCGGTAGGGCCTTGCAAGATTCTTGTTGGGGATGGAAAGATCCTGATTCAGCCTCTCTCCAAGCGGGTCAAAACCAAAGGAAAGGGGGTTCGGAGCTCCTCAAGGGGGTACCCAGCAGAAGTGCCCCCATTGTACCCACCTGGAGGAACACCATACTTTCAGCCCCCTCCCTCCTTCCTTTAATGCAGAGGGTTGAGAATTTCTTAGAGGTGGTGGGGATCAGTGTGGGGAAACCCTCCCCCCCCCCCAAGCTGCTCAGCCCTTTTTTTATTTTTCAGGACACAGTAGAGGAACGTGCTCGGATGTGCATGACCCCCCAAGGCATCCTGCAGAGAAATATTTGCAAAGTGGAAAACGCTTGTGAGTTCTCCCTTTGGGGCCCAGGAGGGTTTACACACACACACACACACACACACAGGGACACTCTGACTCTACAGCCTTGTTTCCCAATCTCAGCAACTTTAAGATGTGTGGACTTCAACTCCCAGAATTCCCCAGCCAGCATAGCATCTTAAAGTTGCTGAGATTGAGAAAGGCTACTCTAGATCAGAGGGCCCCAACCTTTTGGGCACCAGGGACCGGTTCCGTGGAGAGAGGTTCTTCCGCGGACGGGAGGGAACGTGGTTTTGTGTGTTGCTTGCATCCTGCAATGGGGCTTTGCTTGTTTGTGCAGACCAGTTGCTGGAATGCTGCGGCCCGGTACTGGTCCACGGACCGTGGGTTGGGGACCCCCGCTCTAGATGGTGAAACACATTGCTAAAAATTATATCTTGGCAACCACCACCTTCTTTTAATTGCACACCCGCGTACAAACCACCTTTATGTAGTCCTATAATAAATGAAAAAAGTAAGGTTCTACATTTAGGCAAGAAAACCCAAATGTACAGGTATAGTATAGGGAGTACCTTGCTTAATAGTAGTAACTGTGAAAGGGATCTCGGAGTCCTAGTGGACAATCACTTAAATATGAGCCAGATGTGTGCTGCAGCTATCAAAAAAGCCAACACAGTGCTCGACTGCATTAACAGAGGGATAGAATCAAAATCACGTGAAGTATTAATACCACTCTACAATGCATTGGTAAGGCCACACTTGGAATACCTGCATCCAGCTTTGGTCACCACGATATAAAAAAGATGTTGAGACTCTAGAATGGGTACAGAGAAGAGCAACAAAGATCATTAGGGGACTGGAGGCAAAAGCATATAAGGAAAAGCTGCTGGAATTGGGTATGTCTAGTTTAATGAAGAGAAGGACGAGGGGGAACATGATAGCAGTCTTCCAATATCTCAGGGGCTGCCACAAAGAGGAGGGGGTCCATCTATTCTCCAAAGCACCTGATGGCTGCACAAGAAGCAACAAATGGAAACTAATCAAGGAGAGAAGCAACCTAGAACTAAGGAGAAACTTCCTGACAGTTAGAACAATTAACCAATGGAACAACCTGCCTCCAGAAGCGGTGAATGCTCCAACACTGGAAGTTTTGAAGAAGAGACTGGCAGCCATTTGTCCGAAATGGTATAGGGTTTCCTGCCTGAGCTAGGGGTTGGACTGATGACCTCCAAGGTCCCTTCCAACTTTAACGTTGTTTGTTGTTGTTGTTGTTGTTATTATTATTATTAAATGCTGATCACTAGTGATGTTAAAGGCCAGTCTGCCACGGGTTAGACCAGAGATCTTCAAACTTGGCAACTTTAAGACTTGTGGACTTCAACTCCCAGAATTCCCCATTGCTGGCTGAGGAATTCTAGGAGTTGAAGTCCACAAGTCTTAAAGTTGCCAAGTTTAAAGATCACTGGGTTAGACTTTCTGAATAGAGTGGGGATAAGAAGAAGAATAAAATGGCAGTCACCACTACAGGTTTAGCATTAGAGGTAAATTGAGGACTAACTGCATCCGGCATCGTTGCTAGACCTCAAATATACACTTATCCCCACAACTGAGTCCCAAACTTCTGCTGCTCAGTGAGCCATTTGCTAATTGAGCTTTGCCTCATTTTATGGCCTTTCTTGCCACAGTTGTTAAGCGAATTACTGCAATTGATAAGCTAGTCACACGGTCGTTAAATGAATCTGGCTTCCCCGTTGACTGCTTGTCAGAGGGTCGCAAAAGGGGGAAATCACATGACCCCGGGACACTGCGACCGTCGTAAATATGAACCAGAGCCAAGCTTCCAAATACGGATCAGGTGACCTGGATGCTGGAAGAGTCCTAAGCGGGAAAATTGGTCAGTTTTTTTCAGCGCCATTGTAACTTCGAATGGTCACTAAACGGACCGTTGTAAGTCGAGGACCATCTCCAGAGCCGATAAGCTGGGGGAGGTGGCTCTTTCCTTTGGAAGCTGACTGGATCTTTCTTCTCTGCAGCTTCCCGACCTCTGGATCGGAGCTCCCTGTGATCACCGAAGGAGAAACACGGATCCTTCCGCTACCTCTTCTCCTCTCCCCTCACCCCCAGGACCTCAAAGATGGCTGTGAGACAGTCCCGAGGCTGAGCAGTGGCTGCCCCTGCCCAACCCAATAAATCCACTGAGGTGCACCTGCTTGACCTCTGGAGTCCTCCTGGGCCTTTGGGGGGAGTATTTGCACTTTTCAGAGATTCCCAGTTAAGCAGCCATTAGCCCAGGGCTTAAAAGGACGTCCATCAAGATCCAGGGAGATACAATCACCGGCTGCCATGCTGTGCAAAGTGCAGCCAGCCGGCCTCTCGGTCAAGGGGCAGAATGAGGCCAAAGGCTGGGCCAGGAGGGCTCATCTGGGGCAGGGTCCTCTCTGGGGTGGGGGCAACCCGTACAAGAGCCTCTTCCTTAGCTCCACCTGCCTCCCCTGCCTGGAGAGGACCATCCCAAGCAAGGCGGTTGCAAACAAGAAACCCAGGCGGATGATTTTTCATTCCAAGTAGTCCTTAATGTACGACCAGAATTGATCCCGAAATGTCCATGGCTAAGCGAGACAAGTGTTAAGTGAGTTTTGCCCCAGGTTACGACCTTCCTTGCCACCGTTGGTGAGTGGATCACTGCAGTTGCTGAGTTAGGCCAGGGGGTCTTCAAACTTGGCCCTTTTATGACTTGTGGACTTTATGACTCGTGGACTTCAACTCCCAGAATTCCTGAGCCAGCCATGCTGAGGGGAAAGGGAGAGGTTTCCAAGCTGAGCCATGCTGGCTCAGGAATTCTGGGAGTTGAAGTCCATGAGTCATAAAAGGGCCAGGTTTGAAGACCCCTGAGTTAGACACACAGTTGTTAAGTGAACTCGGCTTCCCCGTTGGTTTTGCTTGTCAGAAAGTCGTCAAAGGGGATCACATGATTCCCGGACACTGTAACCGTCGTAAATATGAGTCAGTTGCCGGGCATCTGAGTTTCGATCATGTGACCACGAGGGTGCTGGAACGGTCATAAGAGTGACAAATGGCCACAGGTCACTTTTTCCAGTGCCCTTGTAACTTCAAATGGCCACTAAATGAATAGCTGTAAGTCAAGGTCTCCCTGGACTTGGATCCTTTTAAAAACACATACACACACACACACACAGCAAATGCAGCAAATTGTCCTCTCTCCCCAATGTTGGTCTCTGAATTTAGAAGTGACAGATCAGGGACCTCATTGCCTCCCTTCTGTGGCCAGCAAGTGCACAACTTTGCTTCCTGAGTGGCTTCAGACCCAACAAGCCTTTTGGGCCACCTTCTCCAGTGGCCGGTGGGCTCTCTCCGGCCAGGGGGTGGGGTTGGAGGGTGGCCTCTGCCTTGTGCACACAATGAAGTTTGCAGTTCGTTGGGGGGGGGGAAATGGAGTGGGTGGTCATGAGAGCAAAAGTTTTAAATTGGGAGCTTCCATTACATCCACCCGGGCTTCTTACATAAGAAGAAACGTAAACATGGCATCGTTATTTTTAAAACCCTGAAAGCATTTCCTCTGACGCTTCCTCCTTCTTCAAAATGCTTGCAGAAGAGCTTCACACCTCCCTCGCCTTCTTGGAAAAACTTCCTGCTGAGGCGGTTGTGGGGCCTCCTCCAGGAAAGACACTGTTGCTCCCCAGGTCCTCCACAGCGTTGGGTTTCTCAGATTGCCGATCTCACAGCTCCAGAAGGGGGAGGGTCCTCCCAGCAGGAAGGTGGCACAACAACTGAGGGATGGGGCTTGGAGGGGCGGTTAGGTGGGGGGGGGACAAGGCATTGCCTTAAAGCAGGGGTCTTCAAACGTGGCCCTTTTATGACTTATGGACTTCTACTCCCAGAATGGCTGAGGAATACTGGGAGTTGAAGTCCACAAGTCATAAAAGGGCCACGTTTGAAGACCCCTGCCTAAGGGTCTGGAGGCTAAAACATATAAGGAATGGTTGCTGGAATTGGGTATGTCTAGTTTAATGAAGAGAAGGACGAGGGGGGACATGATAGCAGCGTTCCAATATCTCAGGGGCTGCCCCAAAGAAGAGGGAGTCAAGCTATTCTCCAAAGCGCCTGAAGGCAGGACAAGAAGCAACGGATGGAAACTAATCAAGGAGAGAAGCAACCTGGAATTAAGGAGAAATTTCCTGACAGTGAGAACAATGAACCAGTGGAACAGCTTGCCTTCAGAAATGGCGGGTGCTCCAACACTGGAGGTTTTTAAGAAGAGACTGGACAGCCACTTGTCTGGAGTGTTATAGGGTTTCCTGCTTGAGCAGAGGGCTGGACTAGAGGACTTTCAAGATCCCTTCCAATTCTGTTATTTTGTTATTGAGCCATGGTTGTGCAGAGATTAGAATGCAGTTATTGCAGGCAAACTCTTGATCCTGACCACTCAGGTTTGACTCAGCCCACCATCTTTCTGAAGTCTGTAAAATGAGGACCCAGATTGTTGGAGGGGGTAAGATGCTGACTATAAACTGCTTAGAGAAAGCTGTAAAGCACTATGAAGTGGGATATGAGTCTAAGGGCTTTTGCTATTGCTGCCACCTGTTCTAGGGGCCAAGTGGGGGGGGGAGCTGAACAATGGAAAGGCATGGAGATTCCCAGAGATTTGGGGTACCTGAAGTATGCAGGATGAGGAGAAGTTGGGGAGAGACTTGGAAACTGAGCCGGGGCTGAGCTGGAAAAGAGATTTTTTCCTCCTCCTTTGAGAGAAGATCAACAGCCGAGGGGAGAGGGAGGGAGAGGCAAAGAGACCCTCCCCATAGGGTAAAACGTCGCATATCAGGAGAGGCCATCAAGAGGCAAAATGCAACATGCGTGGCCATCTCAGCCTCATTTCAAAGTGCGCATTAAAAAGTTTAATGGGTAATTTTTCAAATAACACAAACTATCTACATACCCGCATCCCTCAAAAGAAAGGCCTATCCTGGACGCTCGTCCTCACTCTCTGGGGAGCTCCACAGCTCCTTTCGTCTCAACAGGATTCTTTCTTTCAGGTTGTGGAACTGCTCTCCATGGGGAAGGGGGGCTGTTGGCCTGCTTGAGGGGGCTGTGGCCTTGGAAACCCCACAGCCTCCTAGTGAGTCCTCAAGGGGAGACCCCTCCCTCCCTGCAGGTTGACATTCTCGGGGGCTCAGTCTTAAAAGGTCCCTTTCTGGGGAGCCCTCGCTGTTTGGGGGGGACTTCCAAGCGGTGGGCTGCTTAGCCTTGTCTTCCTGCTCTGCTTGAGGGAGGGGCTGGTGGATGGTCTTCTCAGGCATAAGGGATTCCTCCCTTCTCCTCCACGGTCCTCCTTCTCTCGTTTTGGCTGCTCCTTGAGCCAGAGCAGCTGGTTGTCCTTCCCTGCCAGAGCCGCCATTGCTGGGTCTCTCTTCTCTGCTGCTTGAGGAGCTCTCCTCACGGCCGCTGGTGTCCAAGTGCCTCTTGACAACCCTCATCTTTCTTCTGCTGGGTCCCCACGTCCTGCCGCCAGCCCCCCTCTCAGCTGCTCTTTCTAGGCTTTGCGTCTTGGCATTCCTCCTCTTTCTGGCCACAGATGCCAAGGCTGAGGTCTTGTGCCCAGTCCTATCCCAGGCCAAAGCTCCTTCTGGCCCCCAGTTCCTTTCTTGGATGTAGTCCTCTGAGGAGGACCTGCTCGCTTGACAATGAGTGGAGAACGAGCCCGTGGAAGTGTCGCCTCGGTGGTGGAAACCTGGTCGTGCCGGTAGAAATATCTGTGTTTGAGGAACACGGGTCTCACCTTGCCTGAAAGTTTCTCCTTTACTCGGACGTGCATGATGGGGATCCATCCACCTCTCTGCAGCATCTCCTTCTAGAGTGTGCTCAAGGTCTCCAGAGAAACCAGCCCTTCCTTCTTCAGCTTCACTGGGGACTCCATGCCTCTTCTTCTCTTTCCAGGTGGTCAACCAGCTGCCCTGGCTGCGTTGCCAAAAATTCATCCCCTGTTTCAAGGATAGCTTCCTCTCCAGAACTGAGCCAATGATAGAGAAACCTTTGGTCTTATCCTTCCTGGAGCTGGATGAAGCACTTCTAGCCTGGGATCTTGAGCTGGCTTCAGCCTTCAGTGAAGACCCTTCTGTGGGTCTCTCCTGAGGATCCAGGTGGCTGTTCTCCTCCTCCATGGTGAGACTTTCACTATTCATGTCCTCAGTTGCCCAGTCCCCCACTCTGTCCCACTCACCTTCTGTACTGAACTGGGACTGGTCTTCTGAAGACATTGGGTTTTGTTGCATTGACTGCTGGTGTGGTGTGATGACCAAACTGCTACCATCCTCATACTCACTCTCTGCTCCCGTTTCTGACTGAAGCCAATCTGATGGGGGAGCTGGCAATTCACTACCTGCTTCCAGAGAAGATACAGCTGAGAACTTCTTGCTTAATAGTTTTGAGAGTTCAGAACCCTCAACTGAAGCCTCACCAGTTATCTGGGAACTTTCACGGTCCTGCTGGTCCAGAGCAGTTGTACTCAAGTTAGGTGATGGAGGAGGTGGAGGTGGCTCCCGAAAGTCCCTGTGAGCCAAATCTTTAGGCTCTCCAGTATGTAGAGTTGCAGACCTCAGTGGTCTTCCACCTCCAACACCTTGTCCTTGTTCTGGTGGGGACTCCCTCTCTTTCTCAAGAACAGGCTTTTCCTCAAGTAATTGGGCACTCAACCGCTGTCGGTGCTTTCTGCCTGCCTGCCGGATGAGTTCCACTTCTACATCCTCACAGGTGGAATATGAGGAGATGACACAGGCAGGAAGTATGAAGGAACCCAAGGCTCTCTGGACAATGTGGGACCTGAACAGAGGGTTGGTTGCCACTTCAGAAGGCTTGAGAAGGTTCTCCTGCTCTGGGAGATGACCCTGCACCATGCCTCCTGCTTGATGGGTCTTCTGGGTCTCATTGTCTTCCAGGGATGCCATGGACCTGGTTTCTGCATCTCTGGCCATGGGGAAAGCTTCCTCTCGCTCCTCCCACTTCTGACCTACATCTCTTTCACAAACTGTAGTGCCACATTCATAGGGAGTGTAGGTCACTGGCTGCCTTCCTGATTGTCTCAGTCCTGATGGAGATGCACTGTGTCTTACCATTCCTTGCATGTTGTGTTCCAGCTGCCGTGAGAAGCTCTCTTTATCCCAAAGCAACTGCTCAATGGAACTGCTT